CTTTGGTGTGAACAGTTCTTCAATTAAACATGTTTTGTAAAACCGAGTTTTATGAAACTTCGTTTAATTAAACCTGGTTTAGTTGGTGTGAATGGGGTAAAAGACAATGTGAAACCATTCCACAGTCAATATTGAAACTCTGGATTACAATAATGTTAAGTTTTTTTTTCACAAAGTTATTCTTAGGCTCATCTAGACACAAAAATCGATTTCCAACCCTAAATATATACAGATGAAGTGGTGGGATAGCTTGTTCCAATAATTGTCTTTTTTATACTAAGAATGAACTGAAGTGTAAATGGGCCTTGAATGCGAGCATGACAATCACTGTTTTGTTGCAAAATTGTTATTTGATGCCCTATTCTCTCCAAGGATGGACCAGGATTTTCATTTCAAAGCAAAGTGACCATTTCAGAACTTTGGTGTGGTAAGGCTGCCTAAACTCAATTTTATTATAATATTATAACATTTTTTTAGCTACTGAAAGATGTATAATTTCAGTGCACCGATAATTGGGTACATGTAGTGATACACTAGTAAGCAACTAGTCCTTTTGACAAACCATAATACCCTCATCATTTATGAAAATATCTTCTGCTCATAATATATCAAGGACCACCCTTTGGGATGCCTACATGTCCTAGCTAGAGTGTGTTTGTCATCAAATTGAGCTTTCTCTCTCACACATTGTGAACTAACCAGCTATGATATTGGAATTTTGTGAAATTATGCAAAAACAATATTCATTGCCACAAAATTTTGAAATAATTCCTAAGAGTTAGATGTAAAGCCTGGATTCTCAATTAATTAATTGAGTACTTCACTGCTGATGACCTGTTTACCGGTAACGGGTATTTTTGCAAAGTGTTTCAAATCATACGAGAGTTTCACCCCATTGACTAGTAATGAGAGATGAGTACACTGACAATTTTTCGGTAGTACAGTAAGGTACTGAACTATAGTCTCAGGCTATGATACAGATATGACATACGTTGACACAGTGCACAAATAGTCGGACAAATTCTTCAGTTCACTGTAAAATAATAAAGTACAATTTTCAAGCCATAAGCAAAAATGTAAACAATAACACGCAGTCAGAAGAAATTGCATTCAAGCTTTCGTATGCTGAATATATTATTGGCTGAGAAGCGTAAAGCTGCAGTACTCGGGAGAACAATTATTCAAGAATCGATATAAGATGTTACAAGGAAGGATATATGGAGAAAATAGATGCAAATATCCATCTGTGTGTGTGTAGTAGTATTGATCGATCGATCTCGCGTGGACTCATCTTCACTCTGGGACTCGATCGCAAAAAACCCCCCCATGTGTACGTAAAGTAACGCAAGGAGTTGAGGAGCAGAATAACGTTCAATGTTCAGTATTTACACCGAAAAGACGAAAGAAATCCAGCTTTTAACGGATCTTCGGTCGCCTTTCCAGAGATCCGAACAGCATGAGAGAACGTGTAAACTGAAGCACATTGTGATATTTACCCAAAATGCAGTTCGGCGCGTGACCAACCTCCTCTGCCGAGTGACTAGAACCTTAAGCAACGACGACGGCGACGCCAGAGACGACGTCTAGTAAGAGATAGATTTATATTTTACCTTCGAATTTTGGAACTATCTGAATCTGCTTAGTTCGCCAATCGGTCTGAAAACCTGCTCAAACTAAGTATGTAATGCCGGCGATCAATTCCAAAAAGAAATGCGAAAAATTTGCCGTCTGGGCCTACGTTCTCCAAAATACGCACAACTTGGCCATTCCACGTTGTTGTTTTGCAAAGGACAGCTAGGAAATGTACAAAGATTTATAACGCACGTGCACAGCTGTTGTTTTGCCCATTAAATCTTTTGTTTAGCGACGTTCTCGTTGACGCCGTCGTCGTGGTTTGCTTAAGCTCCACAGAACGATAACTCGCCGAAATCGCGTTAGATCGGCCTGAGGAGCTGGCAAACAACAAAGAATACAACACAGTAACAGGGTAAGTAGATTTTTTTTTCACAAAATATAAGAATAATTGACTTTTCAAACAAAGCCGTCGCATTCTAATACAAACCTTTATAAATTCAAACCGTTGTAACACAACACCTCCATTAGTCTCCTTCGCAGCCGTTATTAGGGTCGTCACGCAACGCTCCTCTCCACTAACGGCTGCTCACGAGAGAGACACATTCCTTTCCCTTTGTTTTTNAGTACTCGGGAGAACAATTATTCAAGAATCGATATAAGATGTTACAAGGAAGGATATATGGAGGAAATACATGCAAGTATCCATCTGTGTGTGTGTAGTATTGATCGATCGATCTCGCGTGGACTCATCTTCACTCTGGAACTCGAACGCAAAAACCCCCCACGTTTTCATAGTCTTTATCGATCATCATCTGTAGGTAAGGTAATCCAAGGAGTTGAGGAGCAGAATAACGTTCAATGTTCAGTATTTACACCGAAAAGACGAAAGAAATTCAGCTTTTAACCGATCTTCGGTCGCCTTTCCAGAGATCCGAACGGCATGAGAGAAGCACATTGTGATATTTACCCAAAGTGCAGTTCGGCGCGTGACCAACCTCCTCTGATTAGGAACAAAGTAGGTCGTTAGGCATGAACAGCAATACGTCACTGGTGCCCATGCCCCTACCCCGGGGCATACTTAAGTGATGGAAAATAAAATAACTCTCCCTCTAACGCTGTGCTGTGAACTTCTGCGGTCACAATTACATGCAAGTAATTTTTTTGTGTTATGAAAATTTAAGAGATTAAGCAAAAACTACATATCGACCTTCCATACAATCAGGTGCGTTCAGTCGTGCCCATTGAGACGTCTAGGACCACGATGGCAGCAACCTCATGAATGATGTTACAGCCTGATATGCAAAGGCAATAATCAAGTTCTGGAAGCGAGCACGACCCAACGTTCCTGAAAAGCAGGGTTACAGTGCGAAGGAACCTAATTAATAAATAGGGCCTAAAATGTAAAGCTGAAAAGACTTATCAGAATGAAAAGGTGAAGAATTGTTATGACGTTTGTTTCGTTTTCTAGGAAAGCAATTAAGGGCAGTGGTGTTTAGTATTGTCAGTGAAGAGATTCTTTTAACGAGAACTGAGACTAAGCGTGTTTTTTGTACATGTACTTTTGATATTCAGTGTCAGTTGGCTAAAAGCATGGATATTTGAAATGAATGAATTTTTTCTTTAGTGCAGATTAAATTCGCAAAGAGTTTGAGTGAACGAGGCGGCTCATAAATGATTAAATAAATGTAGACTTGATTCATGCTTATTTAGTGCACTCGTGATTCCCAGAAATTCATTGTCTGTGGGTATCGCAGCGTTACATCATAAACATATGTCGGTGACGTTTACTCACACGCACACGTTTGCATGTCCCTTTGATGTCCTTATTGACCGGGTTCCACTGTATAGTGATTCAATGGAGAAAACCATTGCTATTTCTGGAAGAAAATGTACACGTTCATTCACGCTGGTTTTTCAGTATTACTGTAAAGTCTTTTTGTTGCGGAAATTTCAAAACAAAAGACACTAAAAAAAAAGCGAAAACAAAAAGAAAAACGTTTGAACGTTAATAATAGTGGACATACGAAGTACAGAAAAAGGGACAGAAAACTTAGTTGAAAGTTACTTTGTGAAACATTTTGCTCAGTTTGTCAAATTGAAATTGACCCCGTATTGGAGTTAGGGAGGCTGGCGTTTCGAGTGTAAGTCCTTTACGAAGGAAGTTATTCAGCCGAAGCGTTACGGAAATTCTTCAAATTCTTTTGAACTNAAAAAAAAAAAAAAAAAAAAAAAAAAGAAAATCGGAGGAAACAGTGATACCACGATTTATCACAAACTTTAGTTTTACGTTCAGGCACTGCAGCGGAATGGTACTGCAAACACGTCGAAGTTCGTTACAAATATCCCGTTGCACATGTTATTTTTAACTCTCCTTTTGGTACGATCTGCTCTCGGTGTTTGGAAAGTGGTAGTCCACGGTTTCCTGTATTTGATTTATTTATGTCAAAACCTCAGCTATTGTGTTTTATGCACGTTCAAGGCCAGAAAAGAAAACAAATACATACACTCGGTGATTAAAAAAAGTATGCCAAACTTTTTGACCATTTCCCTCTATTGACTGCAATGAAGTGTTGCGTTTAATCTATCATGTTCTGTATGTTGGCCACATCAATTCATTCGAACTGGGGACTCTCCTTTTTTTCGTTCGTGGGATGTGCGAGAACATGCCTGCTGTTTGATATCTTCAAGAAGCGCATCAGGAAAAGGTGATCAAAGCCAAGAGCTGAGAAATGAAAAATTCCACGGGATTTTGCAGACCTTCCACTGCATATTGGTTCTACATAGTGTACATACAAAATACATTTTTAGTAATATTTAACACTTTCAACTGCATAGTGAGAAGTTCATTTTTGTTCATTCATCTGCCCTAAAATTAAAATATGCCACGGCAATCACGGAAAAAACTGTTGAGATACAGCGACTTAATTCATAGTGGCCACGACAATGGAAACAGATGTATGGTTCCTCCTTCTCCCCTCCCCCCTGTAATCAATGTTGGTTTTGGTTCTTGTTTTTCGAAAAACATGTCCTAGATATAGAGAAGAGGGGAAGGTGCGCCTCCCCACCATATTATGTCAGTAATCGCGTAACCTTGTCAGTAAAATTAGACATAATTTTCATTTAAATCAACAGGTTTAATTTGGCACGGTATTGTAGTCTTACCAATCGACACCGGTTATAAATTCAACGACAGAACCTTTGAATCAATTCTAAATTGCACGAGGTTTCTTAAAATTTCAAGTAAATAAAAATGTTAAAATTAAAATATAATAAATACTTTTCTGTTCTGTTTTCTTTGAATAACGTTTAAGTGTTAAAAAGTTAGTAAAATAACTTTTTAACAATAGTAGGTCCTATTCGAACCGTGAAAGGTTAGTTTCGTGTCTTTTATTGAATCAAAAAATGCTAGAGAAGTATGAATCGTTTAGTTGGACTTTGCGACATGAATGCAGTGCTTTTAGGATTTAAATAGAGAACTAGAATTGACTTTTGGTCACAGTCGGGCTGAAGATATCAGCTGCGCGACGTTTTAAGGGGGACTTAACGCTAAGAAAGCAAATAAACCCTAGAAAGAAAGAAAGAAAGTTGTCTGACATTTAGTGTATTTTACAGTGGAAGAGTAAGATACCTGAGTGGCCTGTAACTAAAATCACTCAGATGTAGAGTGCTCTATTATCGGTATTGGACAGGTTAATGTTTCTACAGCTCTTATTTTTTAACAGGAAGTAGTGTTATAAATCTCTTATCAAGTAGCGTACTGGAAAAATATCTGTCTTATGCTCTTTTTATACGGTCGTCGCTGCCGCCGATTTGTAAACCCAAGACCGAAGGGCGATATCCTCCCAGTACCGCCCTCGCTCTTGGTTGATAAAGATATCGATGTAAAATAAAATATTATCTTCAAAGGAGATTATATTACAGTTGGATGGTGGCTGGACTTCTCTCTTGCAATGGAGCCAGCTGCCGCGGACGAGGTAAGCTTTTTATGAGCGAATCTTCTGAATTCCCAGTCTGTCGTGTCTCGCTTCCTTCGTCGAAACCTTCATCAAATTCTC